ACCCTTTAATTTGTAGCAGGAATCAAGGTACTCTCCTTTAGAAATCCCAGTTTGCTTTTGCTTTGTAAACTATCAGAAGAACAAAAAATCAGAATCGATAGAACATGGTGCTGCATTGTCATGGTTCTAATTTAATTAGGTGCAGAATTAACCTGTGACCTTCAATTCTTTTTTCTTAAATCCTTGTGGAGAGGCAGCCCCTTTCCTTTCTTATAGGCAGAATAAACCATTCTGAGAGCATCTATATGCTGCTTATTACAACCAGACTGTTAGCCTGAAACTATTCAGAGCTGGCTTGATCCTTGAGCACCTTGCCTATCAAAAAGTTTGTGATCTTTGTTACCTACGCTAAGCTGAGAAAGACCTTCTTGTCTCTTCCTCTCAGGAATTCCTATCCCCCCAATTTTTTACTGCCTCTACTTTATATCCCTGCTCCATGGGTCCCCCCTTCCCTGTCTACCTTAGCATGAATATCTAGACCCCAAGTTCTTTATATTATGTCTTTACTGTTCCCCAATTAGCACCCCACCTTACTACAAGAAAATAAAACATTCAAATGCATTCATGACAAAGGAAAATGTAGAGTTTGCAGACCAAGCTATATTATGAGCCTTAAGAAAGGCCAGGAAAACTTTCAAAAAGCACATGAAAGGGAAATGTTTTAACACCATGTCCTTGAGTCAAGAAAGTACTTAACCTGCTTAAAGTTAAGCTCCTGATTAAGTCCTATTGGCTTCAAAAGTACTTAAGGATGTGTTTAAAGGTAAGCATGTCCTGAAGTGATTTGCTGAATAACATGCCTTTATAAATTAGGGCCCATAACTTTAAAGTGCCTTTTGTGATTTCCCCTTCCCCTCTGAGCTTCCTAAACATTTTTAACCTGGGATGAAGTGTAGGAAAATCTAACTATATGGAGCACTGGAATAGGCTTCCAAGGGAGGTTGTGGAATTCCCATCCCTGGAGGCTTTTTAAAGAACAGGGTAGACAAACACTTGTTGGTATGGTCTAGGTATACTTGATCCTACTTCAGTGCAGGGGGCTAGACTAGGGCTCTCCAAGTCCCTTCACCCCCTATATAGCTATGTAAAACTTCAGGGAATATATTTTTTATGAGGAAGCTGAAAATTGGGTTTGTAATAAGAAGCAAACTTCAGCATGCTCCATTGTATAAGATATAGAAATAATAATATTTGGACAGAAGAACATCTACAGTTAAGATTATTTGTTAAAGTGGGTATTTGTAGTGACAGCAACAGTCACCATGACAAAAAGGGTGAGCATTCTAGGAGATGCTATATTGTAAACTGAATTAGCCCTTTCTACAAGACTTATGGTACCTGTAACCTCCTCTAATGCACAGGATGGTCAGGCAAGTTATTTTGTACGTGTTCCTTCTGAAAGATTAGATTACGAATTTCAACATACTGGGTTCATTCTCTACTTAGTCTTAACTCAAGTATGGGAATATAGACTTTTTTAGAAATCTATTTTAAAGTGTTTTGATCATAGTCCTTTCCTTGTATAGAACCATTTTGATAGTGCAGTTTCAGTGTATATTCTGAGTGAGTAAATCTTGATACTTTTAATATTAAATTTTTGTGCTATAAAATGGGTGTGTCCTACAGGATACAAAGGTCATGGAGGGTAATAACAGCACTGAAAGCTTAATTATTCTGTACTAATTACCTGCTGAAATAAATTAGTGTCAAGGGTGTCTGGGTGAAAATGACATCATTCATGATATAATTAAATACACAAAACTATGTTTAAATAACATTAAGTGTCTGGCTCAAATGAAGCCAGGAAATTCAAAGGTAATGACACTCCACCCCTTAAGTCACGCTGTGGGGAATAAAAGGCGTTTTACGGATATCATACTAGTTTTAGTTATTAATGTGCTGGTCTGAATGATTATTTAGGACTTTAATGTTTAGGTTTTTTTAGTCCTAAAAAGAATGGAAATCTGCAAGTATCTACTTAGTATATTTTTCTTTAAAAACACAATTAACTAGTGTTAATGTGTGCAATGTTATCTGGCTACATATATACTTTGATATAAATACTAGTTACCCAAGAATCCAGGAACGTGCCTTCCAAATCCATATGATCACTCCATAATTAGCAAAGTTTTACTACTTAACAGGAGTGATTTTTGGAATGATAAATATGATGAAGTACGAAATCTAATTCTGTAAATTCCAGCATGGCTTAAAAATATCCAAGTGATTGGATAGAGTACTAGAATATATACCACAGAATAAAATTCTAAACTGGCCCCAGGAATAGATTAGAGTATCAACTAGAGCTTTCTGATCTCTAATAGACCCACAGAAGTTAAACATGGTTCTTCTGCTGACACCTTTTATGCTAAGTTTCAGCACGAGGCAAATTGTAACCTTAAAAGAGAAGTTTACAACAAATGCTGGCAGTCTGAATTGTGGCACTTGAGAGATGCTATAATAAGTGCTGCAAAAATAGTAACTATTATTCTTTATTATAGCATACCACAAAAATTACTCAGCTTTTACCAGCCCATTGATAATTTTTAATATCAGACACTTTGCATTTCATATACTGATAGATTCCAAGGCCAGAAGGGACCACTGTGATCATTAAGTCTGACCTCCTCTATAACAGGAGAGAACACTTCCCCAAACTAATTTCTAAGCCTCTGTTAGGAAAAAACACCCAATCTGGATTTAAAAATAGTCAGTGATGGCGAATCCACCACAACCTTTGATAGATGAATCCATTGGAACAATTACCCTGGCTGTCAAATTTATGCCTTATTTCCAGTCTGAATTTATCTAGCTTCAACTTCTAGCCATTGGATTATGTTATACCTTTCTCTGCTAAATTGAAGAGCTCATTATTAAATATTTGTTCCTTGTGTAGATATTTATTTTCAATCACCCCTTAACCTTCTCTTTGTTAGACTCAAGGAGGTCAGTCGATTTAGCTTATCACTATAAGGTATGTTTTCTAATTCTTTAAATATACTGGTGACTCTTCTGACTCCTCTCCAGTTTATCATACTTCTTTAATTATGGACACCAGAACAGCATTCCAGCAGCAGTTGCACCAGTGCCAAGTACAGAGGTAAAATAACCTCTCAACTCCTACACAAGATTCCCCTGTTTATGCATCTCAGGATTGAATTAGCATTTTGGGCCACACCATCACATTGGGAGTTCATGTTCAGCTGATTAGCCACCCTGACCCCCAAATCTTTTTCAGAGTCAGTGCTTCCCAGGATAGAATCCATCATTCTGAAAATATAGCCTACATTCTTTGTTCCAAGATGTATACCAGGGATAGTCAACCTATGGCACGTGTGCCGAAGGCGGCACGCGAGCTGATTTTCAGTGGCACTCACGCTGCCTGGGTCCTGGCCACCGGTCCGGAGGGTTCTGCATTTTAATTTAATTTTAAATGAAGCTTCTTAAACATTTTAAAAACCTTATTTACTTTACATACAACAATAGTTTAGTTATATATTATAGACTTGGAGAAAGAGACCTTCTAAAAACGTTAAAATGTAATACTGGCAGACGAAACCTTAAATTAGAGTGAATAAATGAAGACTTGGCACACCACTTCTGAAAGGTTGCTGACCCCTGATGTATACATTTAGACATCTTAGAACACACATTGTTTGCTTGTGCCTAGTTTAGCAAGCAATTGAAATTGCTCTGAATCAGTGACCTATCATCTTCATAATTTACCACTCCCCCAACCTTTGTCATCTGCAAACTTTCAGTTAGGACTTTATTTTCTTCCACTTTATTGATACAATTATTAAATATTATAGGGCCAAGAATGGATCCTGAGGGACCCCACTGAAAACGTATCTTTTGGTGATTATTTCCTGGTTAAAATTATATTTTGAGACCTATCAATTAGCCAGTTTTTAATCCATTTAATGTGTACCTTATTTTATATCATTCTAGTTTTATAATCAAAATATCATGTGATACCAAGTCAAATGCCTTACAGAAGTGTAAGGATATTATGTCAATGTTATTATCTCTATCAGCCAAACTTTTAATCTTATTTAAAAAAAAATCAAGTTATCTTGACAAAACCTATTTTCCATAAACACATGCTGATTTCCATTAATTACATCCTCCTCCTCTAATTCTTGATTAATCAAGTAAGTGCCATATCAGCTACTCAATTATCTTGCTCAGGACTCATGTCAGGCTTAGAGGCCTATAATTACCTGGATCATCTGGTTTACTTTTTTTTTTAAATTGGCACAATGTTGGATTTCTTCCAGTCTTCTGGAGCTTCCCCCGTGCTCCAAGACTTATTGAAAAGCGACATCAACAGTCCAGTGAGCTCCTCATCCAGCTCTTTTAAAACTCTTGGATGCAACTTACCTGGACCTACTGAATTAAAAATGTCTAACATTAGTAACTTCTGTTTTAACATCCTCCAGAGGTACTAGTGGAATGGAAAGAGTATTACCATATGCTGAGACTATATCATCTCATTTTCCCCCAAATAAAACAGAAATATTTATTGAACACTTCTGTCTTTTCTGCACGGATATTGACAATTCTACCATTTCCATCTAGTAGTGGACCAATACAATTGTCAGAAATCTTTTAATTCCTAATGCATTTTTAAAAACTCCTTCTTATTGTCCTTAACTCTGCTGGCCAGAGATTGCTCCTTGTGTCCCTTTGCTCCCCTTATCAATTGTCTGCAGTTCCTAATGTCTAATTTTCATTCATTACTATTAGGTTTTTTTTTTAAATAGCTTCCTTCTCTTCCCTGCTAAACAGGTTTTTTTTAAATCAGCACAGCCTTCTTCCTCAATTGTGGGATTCTGACTTTTGGGGCATCTAGGAAGGTGTCCTTAAATCATTCACATTTTTCTGATTAAATTCTTTCTCCCAGCTGATTCAGCTCAATTGTTTTCAGCTTTGTGAAATTGGCCCTATTAAAGCAGTGTGTGTAAGTGTGTGTGTAAAAAAAAACTGGTCTGGATTTTATTCTGCTTACACATTATAAATGTGATCAAGTCATGATCACTTGTACCATTAATTTTTAGTTTGAGATCAAGAAAAACAGCAAATTTTGGATGACAAGCTATAGCAGAAAGGCAATGCTGTCTCTGTAGCCTGGTTCATCGGAGGCAATAATGCATTCGTTAACTGGTATCTTTGTTCCTTTTACGCTTTTGTCCCTGTTCCCAAATAAAAATGAATACAGAAGTAACTCTGTCATGTTTTTTTCTGCTCACCTGCAGTCTCTCTTCATATTCTTTTTATGGTACTTTAGTCAATGGCTTTTAACAGCTAAACATAAAAGCCATTGGGAGCATAAACAGGAAACTTGTGTTTAGGTGGGAGTTCCTAGGAATTTTATACTGCTGACCGCAGAGGCCATGGGAGAAAGGAAATAGGAAAAACACTGTAAATACCTGGGTGACTAATGACTTCATGCTGCTCATCTGGCTTTTTAGAATATGAAACAGTCAGTGTCTTCCAGGGAAACCACCACAAAGAAGGCAGGAAGATTTTTTTTCAAGACATTACTTGCTATGCTGCTGTGTTTATTTCACTTGTTACGTTCTCACCACATTTTATCGAAAGAGTATCTTGTTTCTATAAGGCTGTAGGATGAAATGGTCAAATAAATCTACAATAAATCGTCACCAATAATATGTGTTACCTCCCAACCCCCAAGACTAAATGCATTGATGGAGAAGTAAGGGAGTGTGAAGCAAGAGTGAATGCTCACCCTTTGCATTCACACTAAAAGGATTTAGATGAAAGTAACCAAATCCCCCCCCCCCTTGTTTTGCTACTGAAACAGCAGCTGGAGTGAGAGAGCAGTGTATCCCTTTATAAGGAGTTTCATCATTGGCTCCCTAAAGAATTCCCATTGTTATCAGAGGGGCCCGCAGAGGGACCGTTTTTTGGGGGGGGGGTTAGGAGTATGACTTGAAGAGGTTTTGTCTCTTGCTGATTGCAGCACATTTTGCTGATCTGCATCTCACATGCAATGGAGGTGGGGCAGGATTTCAAAGTCGGCCATCTGTACAGATGAGATTGGCAATCTGGGGTAGTTCAGTGTCTTGATTCCTCTCAAAACACCAGACTGTAACTAAACTGAGACATCTGGTCACCTTCATTTAGAACACAGGGTCTGATTTCACTAGAAAGCCTAGGCAGTTTCTCCTATTAAAATTCTAAATTGGCAGAGGAGGGGTAAAAATACATGATAGTGCTTTTAGAGTCTCACATTTTGGGAGTGGGAGATTCACATCCCTGGGGGAAGGCACTGAACACTTAACAGTGGATGGGAGGGGAAGGCCTAGGGGAGTTAATCTCTATAAACTGTGTTCTGACATAGGAGGTAGACAAAGGGGTAATAGAGTTGGACCCTTTCTCACACAGAAAAAAGGAACAGCTTCCACTGGAATGCACTGCTTTAAAGCGAGCCAGAAAAGGTTACTACAAAAGCAATAAAAGAATCTCACTTGCCTGAGGTCGACAGTGCTGCTTCTGTGATACTTTTAGCTCCTGCAGGTCCGGGCAATGAACAGCTAGGACAGGATGGGATTTGGGTTGCTGAAATCCTCACATGAAGCAAAGCAGCTGGGCCTCCAGCTTATTCAGTTCTTGATATGTTAGGCTGTTGTGACACCTGGTCTACTTCTAGCTATAGAATAAAAATTAGTGGACTGTCTGCTTATTGCAGTTTTTGAATTATCCTCGGTAACTTTAATTTGTACACAGCAACTAGACTGAGTTAAAACAAATTTTAAAGCTATTCAGCCGCTGAAGTAACAGATTTAACTTTAGCAGAGTTATAATAATAATGTGCTCAGCATGTTAGAGCCAATAAAGAACCATGACGTCAGCCCTTATTCAGCATCCACTTAAGTACATGCACAAGTCCCATTGAAGGCAAGCATTTTGCTGAATAGGAATGTGATTACAGACATGCTTAAAGTAAAGGACATGTTCAAGTGCTTTTCTGAATCAGGGCCAAGGTCTATACCCCAAGCATCTTGCAGTCTAATTATAGAGGTGATGCAGTGAGTACCATTTAATAAGGGAGTTTGGGATAAGAACAGTAACAAAGATCACATGGGTGCTCATCTGTAGTCTATGCACATGCTTAAGACTATTTATAGGTATATAAAAACATAACTCATTCATTAGAATATAGCTTGCTTTTCCTACAAAGTTAAAAAAAATACAGAAAATTGGCAATGTATTGTAGACACAGTAATAAGAATCCTCTGATTAGGCTCATGGTGGTGGAAAGTGTCAAACTGATTGAAGTCTTTTAGTTTTTCCAAAGAACAGATGCAGCACAGGGATTGGCAGCATAAACTGTCCCACGCTGTGCTTCAAGCCTGAAATGAAGGAATGACTCAGGCCCTGATTCAGCAAGGTATTGTAGCATGTGCAAGCAGTCCCATTGAAGTCAATGGGAGCACTAATATACTTAAAGTGAGGCATATGCTAAAATACCTTGCTGACTCAGGGCTCAGTCTCTGGCCTCTTCTGAGACTGCTAAGGAGGATGCCAAGTGTAGTATTGTGTGATATAGAAACACATCCACTGGGAATCATATTGTGGTACAAACTCATTTTATATGGATCACCAAACAACAAGCAGATGATTTCTGATCGTTGTTATCCCTGGCCAAATGGGAACTGGTGACCTGAAAGTGAAAGGTTGTAACTTCAATGTCAGAACTCCCATTGATTTCAAGGGGTCTAGGATTTCACCCTTTGTCTGCAACCTAGTCCTCTGAACTTTTATTTTGAGTGTTTGTAATACAGTACAAAATTTCTAAAACAGAAGGGTACAGAAAAATCAAAAGTACAATGTACAAAAATCTGACTAGTCTGGCTGAAGAGATAATTGAGTTTTAGGCATTGGGCTCTAGATCTACAGAAGGACTTGACTGTTGCTATGCTGAGCATTGCAATGCCTAATTCCTAGGCATCCTCACTCAGTAATTCTCAGCCCCAAGTTAGGCTCTTCATGCATGCATGGGAAGAAAAGTTGCCTAACAAAGGGATCCTCAAAGTCAGCAAGCTGAGTGAGGAGCCACCTAAGCTACCCTGGTGTTAAATGGAGAGGAATGGGCTGGAATGGGGCTCAGGACCTAGATCCTCAAAAATACTTTGGTGCTTAAGGCCCTGACTCATGGGAATTAGGTGCCTGCCTGAAAGGTCAGATAGACGTCTCCTTCTGCTCAGGATTCTCAGCCATTAACCTTCTCCTGAAGTTAAGTGGCTGGTCTAGCTGATGTCTGTAGGTAGCCCATGCCCTTTCCTGTGGAAAAAGTATAGCTCTTCTTCTCCATTATAGCCAATAGCCCAGTGGTTCAGGTTCACCTAGAATTCAGGATTCAAATCCTCAGTTTGCCTGAACTGGAGCAGGGACTTGAACCTGACTCTCCACCATCCTAGCTGAGTTCTCTAACCACAATATTGTAAAGGCAATCTGTCTCTGGTCCACTGAATATTTAACTACTTGTACAAAATGGAATAGGTCCAACTGGAGAGACTGAGCGGGAATAGACTACCTGCCTTGTTTTGTTTTTGTTTTTTCTTTTCTCCATTCCTCCGAGTCTCCTGTGCGTCCTTCAGCAGGGCTGGGCCATTATGCCCATGTTCTCCGTAGATGTCAATGGGTGGATCTCCTTCCTAGCAGTTAGCTGGTGGCAGCAGCCCTATCTAGTGGTTAGAGCCTGTGGTGATAGAAATAGGGAAGAGTGAGCACAAGTCCATTGCTAGACACCTGGAAGTGCTGCAATGCCTCCTTTTAAGTCCCTCCTCCAACTGGAGCATGCCCAGCAGGCCTGCAGGTGTAGAGCTTCCTGGGGCCAGAGCCATTCTTGTACCCGTCTCCCTAGCATGGGGTTTATCCACCCCATCACAAATCATTACTCTGTATTGTGAGTCTAGAGAACTCAACTAGGAGCGTCCATCCAATTCTGCTGACTAAGGCTCGTCTCAAACATGTTGCTTGAGAATAATGAAGAGTCTGGTAAGGGAAAAGATACTTAAAGAGAGCTTGACTCCTTCCTAATGGTTCTAGGGATGAAAGCAGGGGTAGCTGCACAAGCAATGGCATTCACACCCAGGGGAGGGTTAGTGGCTTTCCCACTGCTACCAGCTACAGTTCCCCCAAGAGAAGGCAGCTTTGATTCCCATCAGAGGTCCCCTTGCAGAGGTTGTTCACAGGATGCACCTGATTTGGTGCAAATCAGCAAATATGCTAGAGGCCTTGGCCACATCTCTTCCCTGGCCAGCTCTGCCCATTTTGAGCTGCACTAGCTAGTTCTGAACCCTCAGGCAGAGTAGGTGTTGTAGGCATCTTGCACCATTGTGACCACCCTACAGCTGGACTTTCCACTGCTGGGGACTCTGCATCAGCATCTCTGCTGGTGGAACCCCCAGGGATGGCCGGAGCCCAGTATTGCTTAAAATGTGCATGGGTGTTTATTCGAAACTGTGCTGCCTCTTATTGTGAACAGGTCACCTTTGTACAAAGAAACAATCATCCTTCTGTGGACTAGAGGGTGAGGTGATGTGAGTGTGTGATTGGGGTGTACTCCCCAGACTGGCTCTGAAAGAGTGGAATTAGGTCAGAAGGGCCCACTCAGCCAATTAAGCTGCAAATGGGGAAGATTTGGGCTGCGTGCAGGAAGTGCTGCAATGCAGAGAAAGAAGAAAGGGAGTGCTGAATCAGACAGAGCTAATCTTCAGAGAATTGCTGGGGGGGCACCCCCCAGCAGTGAGTATAGTGCACCGTGACAGAGAGCTAAATGAGACTTTTGACCCATGGGCTGCCATAGCCCTTGAACTACAGAGACGGGGAAAGCTTGTCCCAAGTAGTCTGTCTGAGGGCATGTAACTAGGATACTGAGCTGATAGTGTCCTCCTTGGGAGCCTGCTACATAGCCATAGACTGCAGGAGAAAAGCAGCTTGCAATGGCAGAACTATTAGGGCAAGAGGACAAGTCCATGGCTGTTGATGAAACACGGGACAGAATTGATTTAATTGGCTCCTCGCCTAATACTTCAGTCATCTGCATTGCCCACTGCAGGACATCTGCTTCTGGCTGAGCAAAAGCAAGATGGGCTTGTATCTCCCTTAGGAGAGCCAATATTCCTAGCTTTCTGGCACCCAGCCATGCTAAGACAAACCACCCCAGAATAATGCAAAACTGCTTTTATCTGCGCACTCATGCCATGCTCCTATTCAGCATAAATCTGGTAGCTATCTCCCCCCGGCCCCTGCTTCATGGCTACAGACACTTTGCACTGCCACCCTGGTAGGACCTTGGGGTAAGAGATGTGCAACAGCTACCCATACTATATTTTGGAGATGGAACCAGCATGCATGTGTCCCTGTCTGCTTCCATCGCCACCTGCCTGGTTTGTGTATCTATTGTTACTGTGTGTTGATTTATCCTGCCATTCCAACTCTCCAGGCCAAACTGACCACAGGTTGCTCCTATGATATTTCCAGGTGAAATTTCAAATTGCATGACAGTGCAAAACCGTTGACATGTCAAGCTGGAAGTTTAGATCAGAAACTAACCTGTGAGCATTTTGACTCCCTCGACCTTTTGCAGAAAACAGAGTTTTGCAACCTCAAAAGCCATACAACAAACAGATAAAGAACATGGAAAGGTTTTCAAGCACCTGTCTTAAACTCAAATGTTTGATTTTTTTTCCCCTTCAAAATGCAGGAAAGGCTTGATCTATGTTAAAGTATAGAACTTCAGTTTTCAAAAAAAGCTGCCAGCTTTTAAGCAAAAATAGTATTTACACCCAGTAAATCCAATGTGTGCTTTCACTCTCCTGGATCTTTTAATTGGTGGCTGGCACAGTCTTTGCTCTGAAGTTTCAGGACATAGGGAACTTCTTGCAGCCAACTTCTAAACCTCTAACAAACAAAATTCATAGTGGAAATGTTGACAGACTCTCGATCAAAGCAGCACCATCAGATGTTGCTTTTATATACTGGTAGATTATTAAAATGACTTAAATAGCTGGGCAATGTTGAATTGGGACAGAGTATTTCCAAATGACAGCTGAACACTGTACAGGATTTTCTCCAGTCTTTCCCCCCTGGTTGTTCTGATATCCTCTCATAAAACGATATTGTGAACTCTGAACTAGGGTCCCTTAAACTTTTTCCTAGTGGGGAATCACACTCTTAATAGGAAAACATTGCAATTTTAGTGATCATCTCCCCTCCCATCATAGCTGAATGGACCACCTCCACTTGCACTTGTCCGTGATTGAATAATACCCCTATGTCAACTACAGCAATTGCTTACGTGGAAAAGTGACATTAGGGAAGTACTCAATGTAATTTTAGATTCTTTAAGATGATATGGCAGTTGGATAGGAGTTGGAGTCCCTACATCATGTGACCAACTAGCCATCTGTGGACTGCTAACGAGTGAGCCCTGGACCATTGTTTGGGAACTGCTGAACTATAGTAAGGAGTGGGGAGATGCATGATATTCATAACTTAACTTCTCCCAAGTTTAGAGGAGTTTGGATCTTGGGTTTAGCCTGCTTGCTCTAGATACAGGATCGTTCCTCAAAGTTTCCATCCAGCTTTGAACTTCTCCAAAGTTCAGAGGGCTATTCCGAGCCAGGGGAGTTTACAGCAAGGAAACTCAAAGTTGAGGCTGACACACTAGCCTTAAGCTACCACACTGGACCAGGGTATCTTACCAACCTGATACCATACACAGAAAAGTTCTCAGATCACTGTGTTATTTAGGTATAATGGAAGTTCAGTTTTAACTGCATTATCTTCTGCATGCAGAAAGTGAAACTGACGAGTGCTGTCCGGGATGGCTGATGGGGTGAGGGTAATCTAAATGACTGATCCAATGGAAAATCGTTCTTTGTTTTTGCAAAAAACTTTCCCTTGGAAAACTTCGATTTTGGGGGAGGAAAAGTGTATTTTTGTCAGGAAACAGACATTGTCAGAAAATCCCCCAGCCAACTCTGAGGACCTCCAGAAGGTAGGGGTAGCTCTATAGGAAAGCCCATGGGAGCTAGGCTCTTGGCCTCAGGGGCAATGCTGAGGAAATAGCTTTTGCACATACTGCCCTGGCTGCTGGTGGATCCCTTGTGATCCATAAGTACCATGGGGAGCAGTCAAACAAGAAAGTGAAAATATCAAAAACAGGGAGCTCCCGACCTTATTGCAGCTTTGGAGAGCCACTTCTCAAGGCCACAAACTATATTAGAATATATACTAATGCATGCTGTGATTTATCCTACTTCATAATTTTCTGTCTTCCTTCTTTGAACCAAGTCCATTTTGGAACTTGACTCTCTACCCAGATCAGCTGGAGCTTAGTGACTAATGCTCTATCTCCATGATGCTCCAAATTAACCACTGGTGTGAGGAATCAACATTTCAGGAATGAACTCCGGCTCAGCTCATCACATGGCAGTAAAATGCATGACGACTAGGCCGCTGAGTCAGGCTTCCTTTCTGTTTTTAGAAAGAAAAATTCCCCAGAGAAGTTGATAGATGGACATGATAGAGCATTTGTGAATCTCAGTAACTGAGACATTTGAGCTGACAGTGCTCCAGGTTTCATCTGGAGGTCTGCTGGTACAGTGTTGTGGGTTTTTTTTCTTTGGGGTGTAGGGGAAGAGCCGCCTTGGCCAGGGAACTTGCTTCATTGACTAACAGGCTAAGTCTGTTAACTTGCTTGTCACCCTGCAAAGCCTATGGTCTCATGCTTTTGAGAAAAGGGATGGGGCTAGGGAAGGTATATGTGAGGTATTTGTTCATTCCACTTCAGTGAGTAAGGAGAATTCGTGATTTGTTACTGGAATAATTCATTGTCTGGAATACTTCCTAATGCTCATAATGTACATGCACATAGAAGGATAGGCACACACTTCTGGAAATTTAAATAAATAAACAGACACTGATTGTGCATGGAGCACTCATACTGATTTCAGTGAGACTATTTGTGTGAAACAGGTGAGCATGATATACACTTTATATACACAAAAACTACATTAAAAGAATACTAGTAAGGTTGTTCCGTCAAGCAAGTTGAGCCTCTCACAGCTACTAGTGCTGAGCTGAGCAACTGAGCTTGCCCCACCCACAGCTATGGGGTGAAGCTGGACTTCCCCTGTAAAGCTTGCTCTGGACCAAAGTGGGGACAGGGAGCCTGTCTCTCCTGTGTTCCTAGTGACACCCCTGCTGGTGCCCAAGAAGCATGGAGGAGGAAGCCATCTGACTTGAATGCAGGGGGGGAAAAATACATGAAAGTCCTATGGCTTATGTTATGCAGGAGGGCAGTTTAGACTATCTCAGTGGTTCCTTTTTAGCCTTAATGAAGGATTATTAAAAGCCAGACCAGGGGAAAGGAGTAGATTGGGACAAAGTCTTATGGAATGGGACGGGACGGTCAGGGAGACTCAGACTGAAACCAGTGAAGGAAATAGGGGCTGGGAGCCAGTTGACGGGGGGAGTAACACTGAGATCAGAGAAGGAACTGAAGAGTTGGGGGGAGGGAGAATTGGGCCTGCCTGGGCAAAGGGACTGGGGGCAATGAGCAAGGGAAGGGGGAGACTAGGGCAAGGAGCTGAGGCTATGAAAAAATAGTATGTGTTCCTAAAATTAGACTATCAAAATGCATATGCACAAGGGGGCCAAATTAAGGATCCACAGATAACCCTAATCTGGCATTCCTTAACTTCTGAGCGCTTGGTTTTGCAACCTTCATGTTCTTTTAACATAGTGGGGGTGGGGTGTGTGTGAGAGATTTTTTTTCTAGGTGTTAAAAAACCAAACTGAAAAAGTAGAAATGCGATCATGTAGCATCATATTGCCACATACATGGCTTATCAGTGGGGTGGAGCCTTTAGATCTACCATCCAGCCCTCTGCCGCTTGAGCTAATGGAGTAACAAATTTCAGTAGTAGGTTTTCACCCTCTGTGTGGACCAGCACTACAGAGAATGAAGACACACATTTTGCCAGTGGGTTTCACAGATATTTGCTGACAGAATGGGAATGTTGAGACTCAGAATCCTGAGCTCTATTCCAGACTCTGGAGAGGAATGTGCTCTAGAGGGTACAAATTCTTCTGCCCATTTCCCCCAAGCATGACCCCATTCTGTTCCATCCCTGGTTACTTGTCCCAGGACCATTCTCCTTGTTCACCTAGTCCTAGGCTCCATTTCTCAAGCTTCTCTCCCCAGTCTCCTTCCCTAGCTAGTCCCTATTTCCCCATTTCCAGTTCCTTCTCCTAGTCTCCCATCCAGTCTCACTCTCCCCATGATTAGACTTTTGTCCCCTCTGCATTTAAATCAGACAGCTTCCTCCTCCACATTGCCTGGGTGCCAGCAGAGGCTCATTGAGAGCATGGGAGAGACAGGCTCCCTGTTTTCAGTTCTAGTGTCCTGAGCATGCCTGGTCCAGAGCAACTGGGAGCAGCCATTCCAGGAGAAGTCTGGCTTCAACCCTGCATCACTGGGCTAGAGCATTCTCAGTTGCTCTGTGAGGAATGGTGCATGCACAGTCCCATTCTATCACGCATAGGTGCTGTAATAGGAAGGAGTATACTCAGCCATTCTGTGGGGAATGCACATGCATAGCAGGAGGTGAGTAAGGACAGAAGCAAAATCAAAGCATATGTGAATTAAAAATTTTCAAAGGTTTATAACTTGGCCAGATTTTTATTAGGATGGCAAAAGCCACATCTCTGACACAAAGGCCACACCCCTGCCAAATTTCAGGGCCCTGCTCAAAAACCTGGAGGGGTAGGGGCGAGGGTTAGACCTTTGCTACTAAAGGTTACCAGAATTTTTAACCTGGGCAAAGCAACATTTTTTCCTAGCTTGTTTTTGGAAACCACTGAACCATTTTGGCTGAAATTGTCCAAAAAACTGCAGCCTAAGGCAGACACCTGGCATTTAAAATTTCAGCCTGGATAGTTAAATTTTGACAATGTTATAAGCAACTGAAAGAGTCTTGTAATAGGAAGTATTGGGCAACCTTAATATTAAATCGCACTACCAGTCCTATCTACAATTATTTTTCCTATGCAGAGCAAAAAGATTAATGTAAACTAGGATTTGCAGATGCAGTTACTATTTACCAACGTGAAGTAGCTCAGTCATTATCACTTTTTTTGACAATTACTAAGTACAATTAGACCATGTTAGTAGAATAATCTCTTGAATAATTTAAATAAAAGCTTGCTTTGAATTATGCTAAAGGAAAATGCATCTTCAAATTAACTTATTTCCATTTTATTATCTAGATACTGGTTGGAAACAGCTGAACTGACTTTTTATTTTTAATTGTGAAAAACTCACTCCCAGGCTGAGCTCTTCTGTGCCAAGTTACACTTCTGAGCACATTTTTTACAGTCTAGTTATAAACCCTAGAAAAACATGTTTATAGGAAATGTTGACACAACCTTAACTAAAGTGGTGCTAGCTGACACCTCTATATTTCCAATTTGGGGATTTCTACTGGGAAAATATAAATGCTAATGCACTAAAGGATGCCAACTATAATAAAAAGCATGTAGTATTCCTATTCACTACAAGGAGACCTACTTCAAAAAAGTACCAATTCAGACTAGAGATGAGTTGAAGTTAACTGTTTTCCTCTAAGGGCACTAAAAATCCCCATGCAGGTAGTTCAGTCTTGCAGTTACCTGCAAAACTTCAGTTTGGTCAAAATTAATGACTCCTTTGAATAGCTACTAAATCCCCCCCCCCAAAAAAAGGAAGTGAGAGCATGTATGGTTTAGGGTGTTTGCCAACATATATCCCTCCTAGCACAAAATTTAAAAAAAGTGAGGGTGGAGTGGGGACAGGGGAGTAGGTTTTATAGAGTCTAGTGAAATAATTTTAAGAACTGACAGGGGACACAAAGATAGAGGATGAAAGGCAAAACTGATTTTCTTACCTGTATCTTTCAAGTTTGGATCTACCTAGAATGTATTCAAGAAGTAGTGTGTATAGCCTCATCTCTTGTTCTTCAAAAAGTATAAAATAGAGACTAGTCCTAACAACAAGAAATGTATTCAACTAATTGCTACACCATTTGGTTAGAGGATTGTATACATCCAGCATTCTCCTTCACAGAAAATGTAACAGAGCACTGAAACAACTACTGATATAGTGCTCTGCTCACTGAAACAAGTAGTTGCTCTGATAAGGAAGTAGCCCTGATTAGAAAGAGCTGTGCCTAATTGGTGGAATGGGATGGGCTGAGGAGAGCCCCAAAGGCTAATTTGGGTTTCAGCCGTGTTAGTCTGTATCCGCAAAAAGAACAGGAGTACTTGTGGCACCTTAGAGACTAACAAATAGTGTTAGTCTCTAA